ACCCATTACATGGATACACAGTTTAGTTCTTTTCGTATATTTTTTTGGAATTTCCTTTTATGTTATTCTCCTGTACGAGTCCCAAATCCTATTTTCAATATCTTCTGGTATTGGGATTCACATCAACACGATCTTTTACATATTCCCACAAAAAGAAATCTAGTGTTGTTAAGTCCATTTCTGTGGGTAATGATTATTTGAAGAAATTTTATTAATGTATTTACTCAGTGATTAGGTAAAAATTTGACAATGTCACTTTCTCATGGCCAACTATTGTTATAGCAATAGTCTTAGATCAAAGGGTACATATCGCAATCGCAATGTATTAAAAATAGGGGTATGACATACTTAAGTATATTCGTTTATGTTGAACACAATGTAGCATCGAATTACCACCTTGATCAAAAAGTTTCCGGAATTTATTTAGAAAATGAAAAATACAAGCTTATTCTCCTAAATCTATTTTTTTGGTATGTCAGTGCTTTCTGCGATTTTTGCATTATTTGCTCTGGGCTGCTGAAATGCCCGTAGTGGCTTTTTCACTCCTTTGCACAGAAAGAAGTCACACGGAGCCAAATCAGGTTAATTTCAGTGGCTATTGAACGGAATTTGTTGCATTTTTTGTCAAAAAATTACGAATAATGATTGTGCGACGGCGCGTTATCATGGTGCAAAATCCATGAGTTCTCTGTTCACAATTCTGGTCTTTAATCCATGAAAACCGTGAGCATTTCCTTCTTTTTTGAGTGAGAACGACATTCACTTGCCTGATGATGATGCTTGTGATGTAGTGGGATCGGATTTAGTATCGCAAATCATCTCTTTTGCGACATCAACACCGTCTCTTTTTTGCAAGAAATTGAGGTCTTTTGGTACCAATTTTGCTGCTACACGAACCGCAAATCATAAAATATATATGTTGAACGGATCCATAGGCAATGTTCAAGTCCTCCGCTATGATTAACTTGCCACTATTGATCAATATTTCTGTAACGTTATCAATGTTTTACTCGGTTTTCGATGTCGATGGTCTTTTGAACCACTCGTGCCAGAATCGTTACTGAAACACTTTTCCAACATTTCCAGCGTTCGCGCATCATTGAATCCGTTTTTAATGCAAAATTTAATAAAAGCTCTTCGTTGCAAAAAATAGCGAGTTTTGAAAATGTAAAGCTATGACGCTAAGATTTAGAGGAAATTTCAACAACAGATATACCAATTGAACCAAAAAAAAAAAAAAAACGAACTCAAATCAGAACAATGGATTCGCACCTCGGTGGTCATTCCGGGAACTTTTTAATTAAGAGGTTAAGAGGTTTAAAAATAATGGCTAATTTCTTTGCAAATGTGCAAACTAGAATTTTTCTAGAAAAACTGAATTATTGGAAAATCTATTAGGTTTACGTGTGAATTATTATTAATAAAAAGAACTTAAAAAAATGTTTATTTTATTCGTCACCCTTTTTTTAGAGACTCGAAATAATTTTAAATTGTGCATCCTAACAATCTTTGCCACTCATTTTCTCATAATTTTTGAAACGAGATAATGAATTTTACGCTATTGTTAACTCACCCTGCATACATTTTACTTATCAAATAGAAAATGAAATAAAAAAGTAGAAACACACTTGTATTCTTCCAACAGCCGAATAGAAAAGCCCTGGCATCGACATATTGGGAATCAAAATGAATAGCATTTTATTATTTCATTTATTACTTTTGGAGGAAATTGTGAGCAATGTTGACGACGCCGAAAAATTATTCAAAACAATAATCGAGTGGCGCTCCCCTCGAGTAGAACTAAAACTGCTATAAAAATAAAGAAATACTACTTAAACGTACGTTCAAATTGTTATCGTTTTTAACAAATAAAATTATGTCCAAATAACTTCTTCAGATATTCAATGACTTTAAAATTATTGGGGAAGAACTGAAAGGTTTAGTTAAAAAAAGAATATCAGTACAATGTCAGCGTTGCTTTTGAATTGATCGCAATGCGCAAGCAGCGTCACCGCAGTATTCTACGAACAAACTAAAAGACAATTTCAAGTTGTTCATTTTTATTTCCATCGAACCATAATTGTGTTATTTGCAGATAAATTTATGATTTGATAACGTCTATCAACCTTACTTGGAACCAATTTCATAAATCTTTCCAAGAACTTGTAATTATCTCAAAATATTTTACTGAACAGTCTATAGACTAATAGGACAGTGAGGACATTACCTTCAGCACCGTTCAGAACCTTGAGGTACAACAAGTTATCGTAGAATGTTCTCGACATTATGCAAATTCAAAAACAAACGAAACTTCCTATTAGTATAGACCGAAAAAACAGTTTGTTGACCTCAAACTAGAATCCTTAACGGTTAATACATTTCTATTTTAAATTTGGCTTAATGAATATTTTTTTACAGGGTTGAAAATAACTATTTGCTATGCAATAGTTTTTTAGTTATTTTATTTGAAGACGAGAATTATTTTTTCAAGTGCAGACTATTAATGTAGCTTTGTTACTGTTATTATATTAATTTTTATTGGTAATCAATGCTATCGATAATGCGCAAACTCTAATAATGGTTGATGTCAAGAACGTTTAATAGTAATTTAATACAAATATTAACATAAATTTATTACTAGAGAGAGAAACTTTGTGCTACAACAAAAACATGCTGTGCTCTATGGATTTTTGCCGCCCTAAATCAACAATATCATTACATATGTTATCAACTCGTTTAGATAGCATTTCACGACTTTTCTTGGCTATAACGATTTACTACAGTTTTTATCAGAAACACCGCATTAAGCCATAAAACGCGGCAAGTTCATACACCACAAAATTGGATTCGCATTCTGTTGGATAGCTTCACTTGATCAAACTCACCTTCACCATAATTTCCCTAGAACAATAGAACAATAAAACAAGCTTCATCGAAATTTGCATCGAAGAATGGCCGACGAATTATTACTCACCGTCCGACTATGCGAATGTAATTTTGCAAGCTGAGTAGAAAATTTTTAAACTCAAAGGCAATTTGGTATGCGGTATTTGGAAATTTAACTGACGATTTTTTATGTTCACTGCTTGGTCGTCAGGTAGATGATGTTTCTTTATCGTAGAAAAATTGGCAAATATTACCATTGAATTACGACGATGTGAAAGATAAAAGACTCTTACATAGAAACGCAACGACTTAGCTAATTAACATAATATTCTTCAGTACCCAACAAATAATATACAGGATGTTTAAAAAATATGGGTTGGCACAGAAAAAAGAAAAAAGAATTATAAACCTAGACCCGGAAAGGGTTAGTTTCTGATATAAAACGGGTTGTTAAATACTTAGGAATAAGGATTTTTTGCATTTATATTTTGTGCCCGACATGGTTGAAATTTCTCAAATTTATTTATGATGAAGGACTAATTTTGCTTCAACTAGCTAAATCAGTGCCATCTCGGGAGGTATGCTATGGTATTGTCAAAGAGATGTACGCCACTGAAATTATTCGCAATAAAATCATAATTTTCTCATTTCTGATATTATGAGCCCAACTTAACAACAATAACAACAAGACTTAAACAAATTATTCTAAATAAATTGCAGGTATCTTCTTTTTTATATACCGTCTCCTCTTGTAAGGTTGGCTATCATCATCATCATCAAACCAAAAATAAAAACAATTGCACAGAATAATCAAGTTACTGGCTGGTAAACCGCCTTATGATAAACAGTGGCCTTAGCATTCTTAGTGATATTCCTAGTAAGCGTGACCTTTTACTCAATGAAAATAAGACCTTTAATTTGTTGAAATGTAGGGGTATTTTTGAAGGACGAGTGTCGCTTTCTATTCTTTAGTATTGTCCAATGTTTAATATTGTAATGCATTCTGCTAGCTTGCCTTTTCGTCATATTCCTGCGGGCCTTAAAGAGTCAGGCTGACTAACTTTAGACAAATCACCCTCCAAAGGTCAACATTTTGATTTGAGAAACTTATTCGTAGTTCCAATATTCTTTCAGATAATACTCGCGATAGGGAACTGTTCGCTGTGCCTAAGCGGAATTCAACCCGATTCAAAAGTTGCTTTAGCTATAACGGTATCAAAGCTTACAACCCGTTCTTCAACTAGATCAGTTAAATCTTTCAAACAAAAAATTTGAAAACAGAGAACGAACATCAAAATAGTGTTTACTATTATTATATATTATAAGACTGAAGCATTCTGTTACTCTTATATTATTTTTAGTAACACAATACGAGTCCACGCGTCCGGACCTCTGGCTACGCCATTGAACGTAGGAAAGATAACCGATTTTGTATAAGACGAAAAGATATACGTAATTATTATCACAAATTAAATATGTCTTGCGCTTATTAAATGAAAGAATTAATATTCCGCCATCTGTGGCGAGAAAAAATAAATAACCCCGGCAAGGAGAAGTAATAAGCAGTTAACAAAATTTATATACGCATAAGACTGAAATGTCAGATTATAGATATATCGTTTCCGTGCTGCTCATTAATTGGGTAACGAAATTTTTGTCGTTAAACGCGATCTGTATTAAAAGGGAAAAATGATTCGTTTTATATGGATAGGGTGAGTCATTAATAATAAATCTTTAAGTTTATCTAAGTATAATGAGTTTTTAAACACTATCAATTCAGTAGCCGTATTTGAAATTTCAAAAACTCTCCTTTTGTAAATCTTCAGAAATTTTAGAATGGAATCACGAAAGGATACATTAACATAGGTACAATTTAAAATTTGGAGTAAAAAGTGAAAATTAACACTTTTTAACTACTCAATAATTCTTTATGTAAAATGCACATAAATATCAACTGACAAATATAATTTGCAATCGCACCATTATGGGACTTTATAGCCTCGAAATCTAGAGACAAGGATGTAATAATATATGGGCACAGGGTAGCTTTAATTTTAAACCACTATGCAACTAATAAAATAGCGTTTGATTATAAAATTCTGTCTATTTTTCAGAGCGGCGACTCCAACTTGTGGGGGGTAGCCCTAAAGAATGATAGGAAGCCCAGCTGGGCCGGGGGGGCCCTCTCAGAGGGGGCTTTGGCCCCTGGCCGCAGCACCAGCACCGACAGCAACTAGTTTTTCTACCGAAGGTGAGCAGTTTTTCCTTGCAACTATGTAAATTGCTAAACTTCGCCTACATTGTTAATAAATAGCACTCCTTTCGCCGAATCAGGCAGAACCGTATTCCTTATACCAAATGTTCGAACGCAGACAAACGAAGACAGCAGTTTTACTAAATTTAAAAACTGCAAACTATTTTTCATTAAATAGTTACTCTTATGAGATAAAAATCTAATGGAAAAATTATTTTCTTCATGCGAGAAGTTTAGAATATAGAATAATTTCTAGACTTTTTTTATTTAGTTCGTTTTCTATCTAAATATTTTTAACACCATCAGCTGGTTTACTCTGACGATATCAAGCTCAGTTTCTTGAAGCCTACAAAAATCTTTTTTTTACATAATCATTATGACCGAAAAGATGAATTTATATACGGGAATCCACACGGCTAGGACCAGCCGTAAATTTTTACTTAATAGCAAAATCGGGGACTAAATATGGAGTTGATTTTTTTACTAAAGTGTACCAAATATAATGTATCTTTATATTAATTAAAATTATATCGGACTGGATGGAACGCCCTATTCATTTCTAATAATTGAAAAGCGCATGAAAATAGAGTTTTGAATGATTAAAATTTAATTATTGATTATTAATAATATATGAGTTTATACTAATACTCTTAAAATAATAAACGATAATTTTAAATACTACATTTTAATTATTGATGTTATATAAATCTTCACAGATTTTATATTCACATTTACACGGTACCATAAATTTTTAAAAGTTTTGATAAATAATCAATACTGAGTATTTTAATTCCCAATAATTCAATAATTATAAAAATAAAAATATTTTATTTCTATATTATCGCAAAACATGTTAATTCCTTGGTGTTTATCATAAAAAAATGCTGGTATATCACAATTGTTTTTAACTCCCTCTATTTTATTTAACTTTTATAGAAATACTGGACACTTTAATGAAAAAAAAAATGCGTCTGTCTGTAACAATAACAATGCTCTGCTATATTCAGTTCGAAAAATTTTTAAGTCTTACATTTTGGGTTTAAAGATTGGTTATTAGTCTAGAGAGTTTAAAATTGTACAAAATATAGACATTAATATTAAAATATGAAAAAAAAACAGTAATTGATAATCAGTAAAAGTATTTATATGCACCATGCACACTTAACATAATCGGTCTTTACAATTTCCTACTAGGTTCATTAATTTACTATTTTTATGGTTCATAAAATATTGTTGTAATTATCTATCATTGTAATCAATGCCCACGATTGACATTTCTCATGTAGGCTTGCGTTTAGTGCGATTTTATTACCCGTAGAATTTATGCGTGCCTCTTGGATCTACGACCCTGTGTCCGCACCCCACGCACGTCCAAGTATTCACTATTGTTTTGAAATTGTTTATCCCCAGTTTTTTCTCCTTGCTCAAATAAACGTGTACGTGTTTCCGATTGCAAATAATTACTTTACGTTTATTGTACGTGTTAACAATCGCACTTCCCCCAAAGTACTAACGGGAAATTAAAAACAATCGCGCCGATATAAACACTTAACAGCTATCGAACCCCTTCTATTATGCTGCGCAGGTTCGGACGATTTTGTGTCTATTTTTTGACATATAGAGTCATAAAACGCTTGAGAATTTTCTTCAGGTTTTCCAATGGCGGCAATATAGTGACATTTTGTTTATTTGTTTATTGCCTACAACTCGAATATAAAATGGAACTCCAGGGATGTTAAAAGAAATCGTTGGTGAAAAAATATATGTGCAAACCTATTTTCAATCAAAACAAATATTCAGTTTTTGAAACGTTGCCAGATCTTTCTTTGATTCTGTTTTTGTATTGTGTGCAAAATTCTAAAGTTCTTTCGTCTACGTTTTTAAGTCATAAAACTAATAAGTTTTTTTTTAATAAAAGTAGCTTCCTAAGCCAAATTCTGTGACACATATCCGCTAATATTAGGACTTATGAGTTTAATGCGCAAAAATCACATGGTTGGTGTTTAAAAGATAGCTTTTACAGAATAAATCTTATTTTTAATTGGAACACCCTGTATTTTATAGTTAGAATGAATAGCTAATAAAAAACTCCATAAAAAAAGTAGATTGCCTTGAAATAAAGTAATATATTTAATTTTTGTGCTTGTCAAATTTGCCATATGATTTATTATTTGCGTTGGTAATTAAAAACCTTACGTTGCCGTATCAATCTTTTCATGGCATCTTCACTATTTCCTCGGAATTGGTTTTTGCACATTATTTGCAAAACTACTGCATTCGATAGTTATTTATTAGCTAGTTATTCTGACTATAGAATCAAAAAATCATGCTGCTATTTATTCGGAAGCCATGCTTATATTTATGACTTAAAAACAGGTAAATATACGTAGTTCTGGCAACATTGCTGCGGCATCAAGAATATTTTTAAAATGTAGACCGCAGATTCAGTTCGCAAGATACTTTCAGTAGGCCAGCGCGTTTAAAATATCCTTCATTAAATAAGGATATGTAAAATCAAAACTAAAAAAAATATGTCAATTTAAAAAAAAGCCAAAAGGGAAGTGGCTTCCTAAACTGATATTTCTGTTCAAAGAAAAATATAAATTTTTGAATTTGCTTCATGATGTTAACAAACTAAATTGAAGTTTGGTTGCACTAAGCTCTGCTAGTTGGTAGGCGTGACCCATTTGCAGAAACTCAAGACCAGAGGCGCTGGAATGGAGAATATCATGGAACAGAAATCATAGTCAACATGGTCGAAGAATTTACGGTGATTTTGCTCTAACTGTTCAATGTGAGAAGGGAAGAAGAGAGGATCCTACATAATCACGCAAATGTCCCTCACGATTGCTACGTCCACAATACTGAAACTTAGATATTTCAGCAGCTTTTAAGTCCTTTCAAAAATTCTAAGAAGCATATCCCAATCCCGAGCATAGAAGATAAGGTTTTTAGAACTACTAGATAAAGCTTTGAAATTGACAAACAACGTACCTCTATAATATTGTATTACATATGTAGACATTGTAACATACATACACTAGATTTCAGATACATCTGACAAAAATGAAAAGTTCCAATTTCCTCAACGAAACAGAATGAAACATTTTGTAGAAATACAATCTAAAGATACAGTCAGTCAATCGTTTGCTAACAATACCAGGTTGTCTAATCGTAATGTATGTACCTATATACAGGACGGTTTCCACTTTCAATGATTGGAAATATTCTTGCCAACCTGCATAACGTACCCATTGAAATTAGAGTTAATTATAGTCCTTCTGTCTACCAGCACAGTTTTAGATCGATGGATAGCACTTCTTCAAAATAAATGGAAAATATTAGCAATAATTTTGATTTGTACCGATGGTATTGAGGCGCGTAAGAATTTTCATAAAACTATCTAAAGTTATGTAAAAGATATGACAGAACACATTTTTTCTACTCCCGACGGTAAAATACCTAATTACACATGGATCTAGCGTGCGGGAAGCGTCACTTTACCACGTCAGTTTCCCTTGCCACGAATCCGAGCCACTTCGGACATTTCCGGGATTTTACCGCACGGGCTTGGGAGCAATCGAGTGCACGGCTTCAATTTTGACGTTTGTCAATTCTGACGGTCATGTCAGTGAATCTATTCGTGTTGTTTTGCAAAAATGTACCCAAAAACTAATACAAAATGTTACGCAATATATCAGACAATTTAAATCCTACGTGCTATAAGCTACAATTAAAATCTAGTGGACTACTTTGTAAGTTAAGTGACATTTATAATTTAAGTTTCCCATTTTCATATCGTTCGTATGAACTTTAGTTGTTTTTACAGTTTTTGTATTAATATCTTGCCAAGACCAATTGTACCATTTTCAAATATCCGTCATCAGTATAAACAAACAAATTGAAGATTAGAACCTACTTTTTCTTGCTTATACGATCTTAAAAAAAAAATTAATCCTCTTAAAAGCTCTAGCCTTGGATGATTTTTCTTACAATTACAGTCTTTTTCTTTAAAGAAACAAATAAATTACTTAATGCTCAATTGTAAAAGTTAAACAAACAACACAACGTTTTAAAATTATGTTTATTCCGTTGCTTATATGACATATCCAATAATACATCTCTCTCTGTCTAACGTACACAGTTCAAAAGAGACAGCAATAGCAGAACCGATCGGACCGAAAAACGAATAGGTTTAACTAGTAAATATTTGTGATTTTTTTCGTGGTGGTCGTAGAAAAAGTATAGTATGCAACACGTTTGGTAAACTCTTTATCTCACTCGTTTATTAAACATCGCTTCGCTGTGTTCCGCTCGTGCCAAATAAATTCGTGGGCCAAATGCCGTTTACCGCACTTGTTGCATAATATACTATTTTAAGACAATTTTAACACTCGTATATTGGTAAAGAAGCATTTCTCGACTATACGCGATTGGGGTTCATTTTTAGGTCACCCTGTGTAATAATAAATCGAGTTACAAGACGGTATTAATTTTTGGTTTTGCGCTTTAATGAAAGCGGTCCTCTTTCTATCCACAAAATGCGAAAGATGTTCATTTGCTGATCGTTGAATGAAATTAGTATCGGTGCTTGAGCAACTAAAAAACGCCACTTGTTACTAAACGAGAAAATTATTTTGGAACCCGCATATGTGTCTGTCTCGCTTATAATAAATAATTTATGACCAGCATGTGCGGTCTGGTAATTTGTAGGCCGCTGTGAAGCACCACCACTGCGACCTAAATTAGATCATTTAATTTGTTTACTACCCTCGCATCGTCGGGTTAGCAAAACATATAGACAGATTCTTGGGATATTTGGAATAAAAGTATCATGAAGGGAGAGACTGAGAAAACTTGTAAATGTGTGAATCCGCTTTATGGGGCAAATGTAATTAAATTGGTAAATGGTGTAAAAAAAGTGAAAATATACATCATGCTGATTACAACAAACATGCTCTTTTAACTCGAGCCAACTTCGATGTTTGTGGAGGTTT